TATATATGCATGCACATACACGCACATTACATACAAATATACATAAATATACTTTTTACAATATATAAGTGGTTAAAGTGTTCAAAAGTAAAGTGAATAACAAAACTAGCAAAAATGAATAACAAAATGAATAAAAACGATGATAATGTTCTGCTACAAGTAATAATTTAGATGTGCATGCATTTGTCGCTTTCATAATTTGGCCGAATTAATATAGAAATGCTACAGAGGGCAGTATTTTCACCCCTGAGCAAACAGACTTCTATACGCATGTACTGGATGTACTAAGTTAGTCTATTACTGTAGATTTGCTATTTTAGGGTGACAGATCTGAGGAAGTGGCACATAAAACAAAGTGAGAGCAATTTCAACACGAAACTACTGTGAACTTGACAAACAAGTACACTTAGAATGGACTGTAAAAATGGGCCTGAAATTAACATTTACCATGCCAGGGAATAATCCATGCTTGATTGCTCTATCAGTTTTCTAAGAATCCCGATGTCGCTGGACACAGAATCATCCAGTAACTGAAGTTCTCTCTGGATCTTCTTCAGTTTCACAGCTTCAGCCTGTGTCTGTTTGGACCTGGGAAACAGGAAGTTATATTTTCAACATTCTGCTTTTCACATAACACCTTTGGATTATCATACATGCAAAAGGTTATCATACTTCAGACAGAACGATTTTGATAATTGTTTAAAAATAGACATTTGCTCTTACTTTTCAGCAATGGTTTTTGCAAGGAGAGCTTTTCTTTTTTTATTCTTCTCTTCCATTATCCGTTGCTCCCACTGCAACTGCTGCAGACGGTTCTTCTCCCGCCTGTTATAAGAAAAGTTTGGTGGAGTCTTAAGCGATTACAACACAAAAATAACATATGGTTATCTACTCTGATTCCTACAAATTCAATGTATATTACTTTAATATAACCAGGGTTTTTGAACACTTTTAGAGTTAGCATTATTCCAGTACTCATTATATATAACAGGCCTTAGAGGTTTTTTGAATAATACAAAAAGTGTACAATTCCACAGAAAAAAAACATGGCAACCCTTGTCACAATGCAAAAAAAAAAGGGACATAAATAATATAAATAAATAAATACATTTTGTGATGAAATATGATACAAATATATTATCTTGTACAGTAATATAAATTAAAACAATATATTTAATATAAAATATGATTAATATTTAATATAAAGTATTCTGAGTCGGTGTTTGCATAGGAAATGGACTTACTAACAATTCCACTTGCTGTTTGTCCAGCTCCTTGATGAATGCTGGTGGTGCAGACTCTGCAGGTGATTCTGGGTCATGTTTAACAGGTTCTGCTTCATGTTCAACCAGTTGCGACTCCAACGGTTTGGGCTCGTCCCGTGGTTTGACAGGATCGGGGTGACTGACAGCAGGCGGGTCTGGGGGCTTGGTAAGCTGTTGGTCGGGTGGAAGAGAGTGGCTGTCCTCCTGTTTGGCTGCCAGCTGCAGAGCCCTTTCCCGCTGCAGCTGCTGTCTGCTCCGGTTAGTCGGAGCGGCTTTCCGGCCACGACCCAATGTGACAGACACAGCCTGGTTTACTGGATAAGAGCACATTAGAGCAGACTTATCAGTATTCACAATTAGAGTTAGTGGCTGTGTCTTAAAATCTAGAAGAGGATCCATACACGACGTCTAGGTGCGCAAGTCGACACATATGATTTGAGACATTTTCCGCACTTAATAACTTACAAAATAACAATCAGCATCAGTATGTGTGCATTTCATTTCATATACAGGCAGCCTGCAAGAATGAAAACCGTTTCTAAGTAAAGTTACAACATTCGTACTCACCGACTTCGCCGTTGTGTTTCATTCTTCGCAGTTCTTCCTCTGAAAATCCAGCCCACGCAGCCATTCTCAGTAGCCTATAAAATTACTTGCAACTAAGTGCAAATCGGTTTTTATCAAAAACAAATATATGCGGGGTTAAATGGTATTCTTCAACATGCACACGCGGAAATTAACTTTACTTTCTCATCTGGCCGCCATGTTTGTGTATAATGACTGCCACGTTCAAGACCCTAGAAAGGCCCCTTCACTTGTGCCCTCGGCATTTGCCTGTTTTTTTTTCTGACACATATTTTATATGCTATTATATTAGTGTAATGTTGCGAATAAAATATAACTTTTTATTTTATATAACTTTCCTAATCATATAACGTTTCGATAATAAAGTAAAAAAAATACTTACAGGCAATAGTTTTAGATGATTGAACTTTACAATAGCTAGCTAGCTAGCTAGCTAGATAGATAGATAGATAGATAGATGTATCTCGCTTGTGTAGAATAAAAAGTGATGAAATATTGTATTAAAAATGTTTTTGGTTTTAGCAGTCTTCAAGAAAAATACATCAGACTATTGGAGTCAACCGCTAATTTTGTTTATCCCCCTCTTCTTGCTCCAATTACCCTCTTCACATTCACTGAGCAATCCTGCACTCCTAGTGGTAGAGAGGTCAGAGGTTAATGAAAGAGCATGCTTGGTGATAAAAAGCATGAAATCCAGAGAAAAAGAAACGTCAAACAGTTGTATCAAGTTACACTTTTGTTTTATTGCCAGAAACACCCATGATTGTGGCAGGAGTAAGTGCAGAGCTCAGGCTCTCTGTGTGGGGCTGTGAGAGGCTCTGTAATTTCTCTGGATCAACTGCTTATCTGAGGGATCTGGCACATGTTGCCAAATTAGTCCTGAATGAGTGAACTCTTGTCTGCTACTTTTGCTGCAACACTGATGTCTGATTTCCCATTATTACCATTAGCATCAGTGAGGCATTCTGCGTATGACCTCCATTTCTGGGTGGTTTGGTAGCCTAAGTGTGTTGAACTGCCAGTGATGGCAAGTAGAAGTTCAAACACTGAAAGAAATAGATTAGTATTAGTATTTCACACACTGTAAAAAATTACAGTGAATTTAACGGTAAAAGACTGTAAAAATGCTACAGTAAAAACCTGTTAAATGGTTAACGGTAAGTTCCCCTACTATATACATCACCACCTGCATTTGGTGGTTATCAGTGATTACAAATGTACAAAACAGATTTCAGTACTTCAATAGGCTGGTATATTAACATTTGATCAGTTAATAAAATTACGGTATTTAACTGTAAATTTAAGTTAAAACCGTAAAACCTAAAACGTTGGTACAGTATTTTTTACGGTAAAATTCAGGCAACCACAGCTGCCGTTTTTTTTACCGTAAATTTTACGGAATTTTTTTTACAGTGCGTGCATTGAAAAACATACAGTATTTAGACAGGGTTTAAAGAGTAAATAAATAAATTTTAATTTTTATGCACTAAATACTAAATATTTTTTCTCTTAATATTTTTTTCAAACATTATACAAACATTACATACAAATATTATTACTAGCCTATATGATTTGTATTATTACTTCATTTATAGTATACTATTTATTACTATTTCATTTGTATTATTACTATATTTATATTATACTATATATTATTACTCCTAATTCGTTCATTACTCTCAATGCGGATTATGAAAATGCAATAAAGTGAATGTAAAAAATATTTAACATACAATATGAAATATTATACAAAATATAAAACATTTCAATTATTTAAATATACATGTGTGTGTACACATATGAAGTTAATTTAAAATTAATTCATATTCATTGCATTGCATTGATATATCTGTGTCTGAATGCACTCTTAAGTCTCTTTTATATGTCAAACACGACAGTCTAAATACCTCATATACATTTTGAAATGTCTCTTAGTGTGATTCTTTACAAATATCACCTATTAATTAATTTAAATTGGCAGCTATCTTTGACAGATTTGATGTGATTGGCCCATTGCCCTCAAGGTGCAGTGTTGCCATGACATAACCATGCAGACAGGAAACCAAAAATAAAAACTTGCAGCTAACAGTCCCCTTAATTCTGTCTAGTCTCACTTTCTGTATTCTGCTCCCTCTGTGCTTTTTTCTGTCTGTGTGTGTTATATATATGGGTCTGTATGTCAACACGTAGAGGACAAACATGTTTCATTTCATTCTTCAACTGTATTTTGTTAAAAAGTCAAACTCTGTTAATTGCCCTACACGGGGCAACCAAACAATCACTACCACTTCATAGCAGCTTTTTAAAGGCAGACTCACATCTTTGATCCATCTGGAATTATTTGTGCACTTTAAAGGAGAAACACCTCAGGAAAGGATAAATGGAGACTTTGAGAAGACAGACTGATGTGTGGGCTCCATATGGCAGGCTGAGTGAACATGAGCTTGTGTTAAATTAAGATGGAAGATTCTTTGGCCCAGACCTGACCATATTCCTAGTTACAAGAAAAGCCTGTGAGCAACATCCACCATCACCCAAAGAACAAGCAGCCTGAATTTGCAGTTCACACGTTCAAACATCAGAGCAAGGATGGCAGTGTTAGATTGTGTGCCATACACAGCCTATAGGTAGAATAAATCTTGCACTTTTGTTTTTCGTTAATATTCAGATGTGTTGAGTGAAACTCTTAAGTGAAATCACTCCTACATCTGAATATAAGACAAGAATGAACTCAGAACAAACATGGTTTAATTAGATACAAGTCCTCCCCATTAATAAAACACATTTATTGCAGGATTGAAATAACGTAAAAATATTGGTACGAGTAATATTGACCATGTATGTCCTAAATGAGACATTTGTGCAAGGAACATCACCCAACACCTTGCTAACAAGTTCTGCTTGCCTATCGAAAATTAAACAGGCAGATAAAGTTTCTTTTAGACACAATATAAGTACATATGGATCATATGGAATGATTTGAAAGAGAGAAAAATCATCAAAAAATGAATGATTCATTATGTGTTATATCATTAAATAGCTTTCTCTTTGCTGAGATAGATATATATTCAACAAAACTACGGCTTCACAGTCCAATATAAAGAGATATTTATTTTGTGAGCATGATGAATTTGCACATTAGATCAAGTTTTACATTTTAAACCATGTAAGGGAAACAGGAAGAGCTTTGGCAGCATTCTCAGAACTTTGGCTAACGTACTGGCTAAGTTGTATTAAAGTTATGAACAAAGTTTTTTTTCCAGTAATATTAAAAGAACATTTGTTCATAGTTATCAAGTATTTAATAAAGTTCTCAAAAACGTTATTTTTTACATGATTTTAGTTGGATGTTTTATCAAACATTTTTTAAATGTTGTTTCAGAGCGTTCCGAGAACATTCAGAACTAACGCGAAATTATAAAATGGAATGTTCCCTTAATGTTTTCATAACAATAAAAAACATTTTAAAACATTACAAAACTGGATGTTTTAAATATTCAGAGAACATTCTGATATAATGTTTATATAACTTAATGGAAACGTTAGCAAAACGTTCTTAGAACATGCTTTTCTTAGCTGGGTAACACAGTTGACAGCCATGTATAACTTATGGGCAGTTAAGTAGGAATCAAGTAGGAACAGCAAGTGCACATCATGGCCTCTCTGTGACTTTTAGCCATCAATAAAACACACTTCCCTTAATCAGTCAGGGAACGGGCCAAAAAGACAAACAGCCAATTGATGGTTGACCTCAAGGAAGGTTGAGGTCAATATGGGGATGATTAGCTGGGGTCAAAGCTGTCAAAGACTGAACTTTAGGCAGATGTAATGGTTTCAGATCCCACATGTTTTGACTCTCCCACATTTGTGTCCGTCACAGAGCGGTCCTTTCTGTTTATGCTGTGAGACAGAGTTTCAGTTTCCAGTCATGGCAATCTGCAAAGAGTTTAGGGGACCAGAGTGATAATTTTCTGTCTCTTTCACTGTATGTTTAGCATAAAACTCTACCACTTTCTCTCCTTTAACCCATCTCTGATATTTCTAGAATGTTTGTCATGTGCTGTAAAAAATATTTTTAGTTCAAGTAAATAATGCTGAAAAACAACCAAAGATTAATTGGTGAGTTTTGGGACAAATGACACATTCGAATCAATGAGCAGTGCAGGAGAGTTGGATTAGTGTTGTTTTATCTCACATTTATCTTATAAGTGCTTATTTGCTGTTGTTAATATTTATGTGATATTGTCTAAAACAAGGATTTTGGTCTCAAAGATTTACATGTCTAATAGAAAACAATATGAATGCACGTAACATTTTAAAATAATGTAAATTATTTCTTATAATACTTAATGTGAATGGGTTACAATAATTACAGATTTTACGATTTCTATCATTCAAATTCTTGTGTGAACAGCGCCTAATTTTTTTATGCACTGTCCCAACTGGCATGATGTGGCATTGATTGACATAATTAACCTGTGTCTTGTGACTTAAGTTATTAGAGGTCACCAGAACAAGAAGATTTTGGCATGTCTCCTGAATCATGCCACCCGAATCTATATTTGTGCCCAAACCGCTTGAATTAGCAGTTTTGCTCAGAGACCAGTCCAGGCTCTGATCCAGGACTTCACTGCAAGTCTCCTGTACAGCCACCCACAACACATCTGTCAGAAACTCAGACATACAGCAAAACAAATATCAAGATGAAACAAGGGTAGTTTGTGTAATAAACTTGAGACAATAAAGAGAGTTCCACAGCAATGCTTTGTAGGCAGAAATAGATAAATAGTTGAGAAAGGCCTGATTTTTATAGAGAAAATGGATGCATATGTTAGTGTAAGCAAATTAAACAAGTTTAGCAATTATTTAATAGGAAATTCTAGATGAAAGCCCCTCCAATGTATTTGCTCAAATCTTGGCCTAAATAATAAAATAATGTAAATTCTGTCATAATTTACTCACCTTCATGTTGTTCTAAATCCATATGATGTTATTGCATGGAATACAAAAGAAGACATTTGGAATCCTTACACAAAAGGGAATTAATTACTTCAGAAAACAAACAATTTGAAATTAATTTGAGATTATACAATATTAATCTTAAGATTCTAATCTGCATAAATGGTCTGAACAGTTAATGGAAAACATTCTAAAGTGATCATTTAAGTATATTGGAGTGATGTCTGTTTTGTTTAACTTCAAACAGATGCTATGAAC